GCTATTCATAGTATATACTCAGTAGTTTTAATTTGCTAAACCAGGTAGTTTTTCAAGTAATATGTCTCTTATGTGAACTGAGGAAAAATATAATTTCCAGCTTTATTTTTTCAATTGGTAATTTTTATTTTCACTAAATGTTAAGTATCAATGTAATCATTTATATAATAATAGATTAGTACACAATTGTATGTCAACACATTATTTATTATCTTAAACTGTCTGGAATTTATTATTAAAGGGTTGCGCTTGTGTAAAATTTACTAGTGTAGAAATTCAGCTTTTATGCCTTTTGGCTAATCTCATCCTTGCAAAAAACCTGGAAAATCCCTATAACATACCTAGAAAATAACCAGTCGTACAATTGTCAATAACAGTAATCAGTTATTGAGATTCGATTTAAATCGAACATCTATTACAGTTATTTTATAAAATTCCACCTTTTAGTGAAACTTTTTCAAGTTTCCATTCTCATTCCATTATATGCTTTTGCTCACAAAATTTAATATTTGATATTACAAATAAATGAAAAATCAAAGTTTTCGGATGGCGTGGTATAGATAAAATATGGTATGGATTTTCATTAAAATTTACCTGATATACCTATCACATAATTTTTTTCTTTCTGAATTGAGTGGGTACCCTGTTAAATGTATGACTATTTAATAATAAGCTTTATTACAATTTCTTACATGTATTTGTAAAACAATATATTAATAGTCTCACTGTTATGATAACTTATAATATTTAAGTCTGTGAATGTAAAATAACGATCTTAATCGTACTTTCTTATTAAAGCTGCTTCTAAAACAAGATGTAGACAATGATTTTTCACCTTTATATTAATGTTGTGGATATTTTTATGTTATATTGTGTAAAATATATGATTACGCAACAATAAACTTTAATTACCGCTTTTTAAGGGTGTGTTTGTAAAAGTAAATATTGATAATGATTATTCTTCTCTATACTGTTATAACAATTTTTTTTTACTGTTTAAATATTTGACTGCACAGTATTAAACTTTATAACAATTTTTTATTGAAGGTTAAACAAAACATTGATGATGATTGTTCGCAGTTAAGCATGACTCAAGGTTTTATATCTTTAAATATGTGACTTTATAATAATGTGCTTTATCAGAATTTCTCATCAAGATCTTTAAAAAAATATTGATAATGATTGTACAGTGTGCAACGGATCATCCTAAATAACTTTTGATCTAATGATCAGATTATCGCAACTTAAGACTCAATCTTAATAGTTTAAAGCTATAGCCCTAAATATACTAATTAATTAAACCTAACTGTAATTTAAGATATGATATCAGACACAAAAATGTACTTTCTCTAAATGAACATACCTTTTTTCTTTTTTTTTTGTTGACAGATTTGGATTCTTGAACCTAAATTTATGGGGGGAGCCGCAACCTTCAAAATATGGTCCCAATAATTTAGTCAAGAAAGGAGTAAAAGATTTAGATTTGTTAATTATTTCATTTTTTGCATATTTCAATTAAATGGCAAACTTTTTAAACTAATCTGAAATTTTTTGTGCCCAAAATCTATTTAATGATAGTTAAAAAAAATTTATTCTAGTCTGTATCATTTGCTTGGTGTGAAAAAGCATCTATAAAAATGATTCCTAACTGATGTAGTTATGTGTAAAAACAAATTTACCAATTATGAATGATAAAGCTATTTTAAATAAAGAAACAATTATGTTTTTTGTTTAAGTTTGCAATTAATTTAATGTCATAAAAATTAGTTAGCTTTTAGAAAGGGAGAAGAGGTTTGTTTATTTGAGTTGCTTGTTTTTTCTAAAATAACTTTTTTTCTAATTAAGCTTTCAACTCTAAAAGTAAATCATTGATAGCATCAACTTAAGTGCATTCTGACTGCAACATGAGGTATCGTCAAAGAGTTCTCTGAAGAACCTCACACAAATATTTTAAAAACTGTTTAATCTACTTATTTGTTTTGTTAAATTTTTTGTTTTGATACTTTTTGTGTTTCTTTATTTAACCTTTTCTGCATTTGGTTCAGATGTTTTCCCCGTCGCTGGGAGAGGTTTTTATGATGTCTCCTAAAGGTTTTTTCCAACACAAAGTCTTTGGAAAATATTCTGTGCCACCCAAAAGTGGTCGTAAATAGTGGTGGTTGCTGCATGAGTATGGTCTTTCCAGGAGGTTTCACTGTTATTATAAAAAGTTATTTTTTAAATGCAATTATCTTGAGATAAAGGAATTTTATGAATGTATTAAAAAATTATTTGATTAGCTTAAAAAGTTTTTTTAAATGTTTAATTAAGTATATTAACTATGCAAAAATGAACTTGATATAATTTCTTATAGGAGGTGTTTATTAAACAAAGCATTGAGGATGATTCAGATAGTAATGATGCTGATGGAAGTAAAATTATTTTTTGTGGGGAGAAAGATGATAGTACAACTGATGAAGATACTAGTGAGTCTGAAAAGGAAGATGATACTGTTTTAACAAAGATGAATGAAAAGATGCAAATCATAAGTAAGGAAAATAAACTCTGTATAGAACATGAAGAAACAAATAATAGTGATTCTTCAAGGTTTAATTCTCCTGCAGGTGAGAGTGTTTCTGACAAAAACAATCATAGCAATTAAATTTTGACTCAACGCCAGAGAAATAATGTCAGAGAAAGATGCCATGTTGTGTAATACTTTGTACATTGTAAATAAAATAAAATTGCATTTTATCCCAGTCCAAATAAAATTTTTATATTCTTCATGTTTGCTGTATTTAGAAAACAGGAATTGAATTATTTTGCTGTGAAAAATCTAAACTTGCTGCTCTTGTTAATCTTATGAATATTATTGAGCAACTTAATCAACAATCTTTTAATAATTTTTTTTTTTTAAAAATTTGGATACGATTCACAAGATGTGCATTATTTCCCATTATTAGTGTGAGGAACTTCATTTTTTATATTTTAATTATATTTTTTGTTTAGCAAGTTTCCACTTTTTGGTATAAAATATATATACTTATATATATTATCAAGTAAAATTAGGTTTAATTGAGAATTAGGTATAAAAAAAAGTAACTTTGAAATTGACAAAGAAAAGCACTGTGGTTCTTTAATGTTAAGTTTGAAAAAGCTTTGTACTCACAAAACTAAATCTAACATTTTGAACAACTTACAACCTATTGCCACTAAAGTATATAAACCCAAAAATTAACTGAGCTACCTTAATTGCTATTAAATGCAGCCTAAGTTGTTTGTGATGAGACTATTAAGGGATTATTAAGAAATATTTATGCATGTTTACATAATCCTGTTTGTTACTCAAAGCCAATTATCATGATTTTGTTCTTTTAATCTTCAACTTCTTATGCCTTTTTTGACTGTAAATATTTTATTTAATTCAGTCATGAAGTTTTTTCTCTTGTAAGGTTTTAATATTCAAATAATTTATTGAAATTAGCCATATAATAAGAAGTTCATTAATTTTTGCAAAATGATGAAAAAAATAGAATAGTATGAATATTTATATTTTTCTCCATGCTCTTATTTTTTTTTAAGTATTTTATTTTAGAATCTTCTTATTATCTTTTTGATTGAGTTTCTGTGATGTTACCCATTGCAGAGGTTTGACATGAAAGTATACACACAGACTCAAGATAATCATGCATTTTTATAAATGTTGACTTTATTTATTTAGTGACGGTAAGAACCTATGAAGATTAAATCTTTGGCTAAATTTGTAAAATTCAGCAACTATCGTAGAAAATAAATTTCCTTCAATGTAGAATTGCCATTCAGATAAAGTTTCTAGTCTTAATTTTTGCTTACTGATTTTTTTGAACTTTTCAAAAAGGTGGCGCTGATAATAAACAAAAATTAAAATGTTTTGTTTAACTGTTTACTGCACTAAATGATTACTTTGTTTTTTTACTAAGTTTTATTAATTAGAAATTATTTAAGGTATTTTATTAGTTAAAAATTATAAAGCATTATCTTCGCTTCAACACTAACCATACCTTACAACTAGATTTAGAATATTCTCTTCATTTGTTACCTGCTACAATAACCAAGAAGTCACAACCGCTTTCAAGACTTTGTTGTAGTGGTTGCCACCGAAATGATGTTGGAAACATCGGAAAAGATGAAAATCATTTAGCGCACTGTTTTAACGGGTGGTCTAAAACTTACCTGCCAAAAGAGTCCAATAAACTGAGTTGTATAGAGCCATTGTCATGGAGTAGCAAAATTTCCTGTCAGCATGCCAGTAGGAAGCTTCGTAAACTTCACAAATCTACTGTTAAATGTATGCAGTAGACAGGGTTTTTGCCGATTAAAAACATGTCACTGACCGTACCACATATGCGGCGGGTGATTTGTTAAACTTGAACATTTTAAAGGCATAGAACTGACCAAACAGATTATCTACACAGTTGTTCCCAAGGAATGCTAGGACATGACGCAAGCACTCATTTTGGCGTGCACGTCACCTATTAGTGTACACAACGAAACGGCCCTCGCTTAAAAATAATAACCCTCATATTAAGTTAGGCTTTTGAAAAGAATTCTAAATAAAGAAAAAATATAATCATCAACATATTTTTATTAGAACAAAAGCAGAAATGTATTAGACTTTTGAATCAGAAACAAACTACAAAGCAAAATCACGAGTGCAAATTTACATAAAAATGCATAGCACATGACTTACATAAAAACAATCACAACAATTTCAATACAACTGTATGCATAATATATTTCAAAAACAATAATATGTCTGAAAAGTGCAATGAGTTTTAAAGTGCAGTGTCAAATATAAAAGTATTATTAAAAAAATATAAACAAACTGTAATATAGATGAATAATATATATTGAAATTATTTATTAAATTTCCTCGGGTGCAGCTTAGTTAATGATTAAAGTGAACCCCTTAAATGCATCAGAAGCATCAAAGTTTAAAATTCATTGCGTGGAAGTCAGCAACCTGGCAGTGAAGGCGATTCAGCAAACCTTTTTGAAACATTTGTTACAACCACTCTCTGTGGATACCTAATAAGAAATTAATTTAAAAAAATTTATAAACCTAGCCATTTAGTAGAATAATATTCTGAATAGAATAAGAATAGTATTCTGATTCTCAAGTATTCTAAGAACAGTATTCTGATTAGAATAAGAATAATATTCTGAATAATAGTAGTATTCTGATTCTCAAGTATTATTTTTCTTGCTATAAGTACAGAACGACTTAAATAGATTATTTAAGATAAAGAATGAAATATTTTATTCAGCCGTTCAGCACTTATAAGTGAATGTTATATTTATTCCATAATGATCAAGCCATCTCGAGAATCGGATTATTAATGTAAATGCATAGATGTTATATTTATTATAGCTTTCCAAAGCATCTAATTTAATTTGTAATAAGTTATAAATTAACTAATAAGTTATAAATTTACTAATCCACAGTCTTGTCGTCATCTTGAAAGTGGTGCTTCCTATCCACAGAATTATTAAAAAATTGACACTCTTAAAGGACATTTTCATGAGCAACATATATATTTTTCAAACTCTTTTCAGATTTTGATATCAAAATGACTCTTTTTTATAACAATTAACTTAAAGGCTTTTAATTTTTATGTCTAACATGCATCTGGTTGTTCAACGTTTTTTTAACTTAAGTTTATTCCTGATTGTTTTAGAACAGAGAATAAATATGTAGAGTAATTTGCTGTGCATTTTTACGATCTATCCATAACCACGACTGTCAAGAAGCAAGCCTTTAATTTTGCATTCTAGAAAGCAAGTCTAAATGAAAATGCAAACAGTAACTCAAGTGCCTGTGTAATGACTTTTCTATATTTTAAACATCAAATTTTTAATTATGTAACTTCAGATATATCTCATTAAATTCATCATAACTTTAACAATTTTTATTATTTTTGTCGGGAAAAAACATCACACAAGTTATTAACAAGTTTGCTTTTCGTTTAACATTAAATTCCCATTCATTATCAACAGTTAATAGTCTATATGCACAACAGTTTTTTTTAAATCATTTATAACATATTGTGATTACACTGTCACAAACAGAAGCGGTATCAGATTTTTCTAGACTAGTGGGCAATACTTTCACGATTAGCATGCCAAATTAAATTTGACTCGTTAAAAATCTCTGTAAAAAATTACAAATTTTGTCCCAAGTAAGAGACATTTTGTAGGTGTCACTTCATAAGTATGATTATACTATAGTATAGCAAAGTGACATATTTTTCTATAGTGCCTTTTAATGAGTTAGGAATTTTGACCCAAAAAAGGAGCGTTTCTTTATTCTGTCAGAGTCGCTTTATAATTATGTACTTATAATATAGTATACAGAAGTGACATCAGATTCCTTTCCATATTCAAATTCAATAAGAAATTTGACCCATCATGGAGACATTTTTCTGTTTTGTCAATGCGACTTCATAATTAAGTAGTGATACTATATACAGAAGTGACATATTTTGTTTTTCTAAATTTCCTTTTTAGTATTTAAAATCATGAATTCACGGAATGAATGAAGTATTTTACCTCTTTGTTTACTTAACTGGTGCCACTTCTGAGAATATGGCAGCTGCTACAACAAGCTAAATACAAAGAACAAGAAGAAAACATATAGTTGAGAATTCCCATCTGGAAAGTTCTCGTCACCGGGGTAAAATTTGCTTTTGCAACCACAATATTATGGCGCTGTTCATATTTTAAAATTACACATACATGAGTGAAGACAATAGCACAAGACAATAACCATAGAATAGTGAAACATATTGACAAATACATTGAAGCAAAATATAAAAAAGAAAATGTGGAAATAATGAAGGGCTTTTAAAATGAGTTATTGAAGAAATTAATCTATTTCTAATGTCACACTAAATGTGAATTCTATTTAAAAAGTTAAGACCTTTCAGCGTTGAAGTGAAGTTATTCATAAATAACACGAAACATAATAAAAGTTAAAATCTTCAAAAACATGAGAGTATGTAGGATGATGTTACACAGTTTAGAACGTTTAAAAATTCCTGAATAACTGGATTAAAAACAGCACAAAAACATAAACATGATATATAATGTAAATCTTGCAAGTCGTTATAAATACATGTATTCAATAATCAATTCCAGTAAATCATAAAGTTTAGTCTTCTATTTTCTCTTAATGTGTTCTTCATTATGTAAATGTTCCTTAGTATCAAGAATTTATAAACTGTCAGCTAAAAAACAAGAAATTTTGATAAGTAAATATCATACATTTTAATACCTTTTATGAGAAAAACACAATTTATTTTTTCATACATAAGATATATTCAAACTAATCCATCAGGGTGCATAGCCAGATTTTTCAACAAAAAACAAGCACCTTTTAAGCATTCAAAAAATATTTTTAATCACTTTCCAAAATAAAAAAAAAAATCATAATTAGGATATGTGCAGTAATATTTTTTTTTTAGTTTTAAGTTCTTAATTTATAAACAGAGAATCAACAAAATACAAAAACACTTTCAAAAACTTTACATAATCATGATCAAAACCCTAGTTTTTATAAATATTGCAGAGAAAAATGTGAAAATCATGCTTTTTTGTAATTTATAACGAGAATTGACACGGCAAAGAAAAAATCTTTTTTAAAAAGATATAAATTTAAGCACTTTTTACAAACTATGAAGAAAAAAGCACCTTTAAAGGCTTTTAAAAAACGTAAATTAAAAATAAGCACTTCTTAAAAAATTTACAAACTTAGTCTATTTATATCTAGCTTTCTTTAAAATGGATGGGTTTTTTTTCTGAAAAAAGTGTTATCTTAAACCTTTTACAGGGTGCGTAGCCAGCCTGATTTTTCAACAAAAACACTTTTTAAGGACTCAAAAAATATTTTTAATCACTTTTCAAAAAAAATAAATCATAGTTAGAATCTGTGCAGTAATAAAAATTATTTTTTTCTATCATTTGAAGTTCTTAATTTATAAACATAAAAATCTATAAAATTTAGAAACATTTTCAAAAACTTTACATAATCATGATAAAATAACTAGTTTCTGATAAATATTGCTGATAAAAATTGAAAATCATGAATTTTTTTTTTGGCGATTTCTGATGACAATCGCTATAGCAAAGAAAAAATCTCTTTTTAAAAAGATAGAAAATTAAGCACTTTTTACGAACCCCAAATTTTAAAAAAAGCACCTTTAAGGGCTTTTAAAAAACGTAAATCAAAAATAAGCACTTTTTAAAAATGCTACGCCCCCTTGTTTTAGGATTAATATTTATTCTGCAAGAAATGAGATAGTCTTGTCCACTATAATATGTTAATGATATAAATATTCATATTTTGACCGGAAGTCAAAATACTTAGTTTTTTTTTAAAGCTAAAGTGGCAGGCAACACTATGAAATACAAATATGTACCACCACTTTTTCATTGTACAGGTGTTTATTTTAAAACTACTCTTGGTCGTTAATGGATTAATTTGTGGCGTATAACTACCACTATAAATATTAAATACCAATTCCCTAATATATAAGACATGTTAACTTGATTCTATGACAAGGTACCTTATGATAGATGAAGGTTGATATAGTCGATTAAAACAGTCCCTTCAAATTTACCAAAAAACTTTACATGAAAGAACACAAAAATAATCATTGCTAACTAGTATATTGACAATTTCAATAACTCAAGGTTACCATGCAGAGCTACTGCTGTAATTTTAAATAGAATCTTGATTATCTGAAATAATTTTGACTCCACTGACTTTGATAATTGAAATATTTAGATTATAGAAATAATATTCTTCTATCCATTTTCATCAATTAATTCTAAAAATTGTAAGTTTTTCTTTCTATAACAAAACAGTATTAAATTGTGTTTGAATTCAAGGCCATTTAATGAATATCTTTATGACAAAAAACTTATTTTATATTTCATTAGCACTAGTGTCTTAGCTAGCAACTATTTCTTTCTTTCTTTTTTTCATAAACTATAGCACAAATATTATCGTTAGCTGATACCAGTTGTCCTTTTGCACTTTGTTATGATTTCATTAATGAAAATTTCATTTATCAATATATATTAGTTTCATTTAATAAAAATGTGTCATTCCTTTTACAAGTAAACCTATAATAATATAAGCCAGAATTAAATAAATTCACATTTTGTGGGTGTGCAGTATTTTTGAAACATTGAATATTACAGTTAAATAATCTGCCAAAGGCAATTAAACAAAACAAAAAATTAATAATATTTAATTGTAAATTCAATTCAAGCTGCTCTTGTTTGTATTTTTAAATAAATTATTTATAGGTTATGGGCAATAAATGTTTAGCTTTAAATGAATAATTGTGGTCTCCTTGCTGGCCATATCTGCCAACTCTTAAGCTTTACGCAGAAGATTTTTGCAAATAACAATTGAAATAAGATTTTTTTTTTCCATTCTGACCTTTTAAAAATATTACAACAAAATTATCAGACATTTTATATAAAATATTGTTTTTAAAGAATTTTTTGTGTTGATGATTTCTTTTTATCAAGATTAATTACTTTCTAAAAACTTATTACAATGAAAATAAAATTTCAACAGTCTGATGAACTCAATAAATAAATAAGTAGGTAACACATTTTAATATTGATGGGTTGCAGGGAAAACCATACATGTTATTTTATTATTATATACCGAATAAAAATTAATTATACAATAGATAATTAAATACACTGTATAAAAATAAATTTATTGGATCATTTATACTCACCATCATAACAAAAAAATGTTGGTGATTTTATAATGATATGTTTTCATTTTGTATTCTTTTTTCTTTTCTTCTTATACCTTAAAAAAATATAAAATAACAGTTCTTAATAATAAGAAATAATTTTATAACTTTTAATTAATAGAATAAGTTCTGCAATTTCAAATAAGATAGAAGAGTGAAACTTTTCGGGAGTGACCACTCTCTGTTCCTCATTAAAATGTTGAGGGAAGTTGGTTGTTCTTATAGATTACCCCCATTGATTTCAAGATTGTTATTGAAAGACTTTTTGTGAACTATTTTAATTTTAGTCAGTGTCATTTTCTTGAAGCTGAAATGCCACTTCTGTTGGCCTCGTGAAAAGACGAGAATAGATTAATAAAATTTAACGTCAATAAAAACAATACCGACTGATATAATTAATGAGTAAAAACAAATTTACCATTTATGAAGGATTAAGTTATTTTAAATAAGCAAAAAATTATGTTTTTTGTTAAAATTTGCATTTAATTTTACATCAATAAAATTATATAGTTTTAAAAGATGAGAAGAGATTAGTTTGAGATGCTTGTTTTTTCCAAAATAACTTTTTCTAATTTAACTTTCAACTCTAAGGGTAAATCATTGCATCTTTAGTGCACTCTGACTGAAGATGTTGTTTCGTCAAAAAGAACTCTTTAAATAAGAGCCTCACACAAATATTTTGAATACATTTCATTTACTTCCTTAAATTTTTTGTTTTGATATTTTTTCGTGCTTCCTTATTTGACCTTTTCCCCATTTGGTTCCAGTTGCTGGGAGAGAATTTAATAGTCTCTCTTAAAGGTTTTCTTCAACACAAAGTCTATGGAAAAAATTCTGGGCCTCCCAAAAGTGGTCATAAATAGGTGTTGTCTTTCTTCTTGGAGGTCTCACTGTATATTATTTTAAAATTAAAATCCTTTTTTTTTTTTTTTTAAGAATTACTTAGATAAGAAAAAAGATTAAGATCAGCTATTGAAAACAAAAGCAGATTTTTTTTTCAAACATTATAAAATAATAATTTAAAAAACTTTAGAGAACAATCTTAGATGATATTTTTCAGTAACACAAAAAAATATGTGCTTTTTTTTGTAATTAATGCAAAGATAAGTGACATAATTTTGTTATTAAAATTTGAAAAAATGATCCTTAAAATTAATTACATTACATGCATAATTAATCACCAATCCATTGTGCAATTAATTCCATTTAAGCAATTTAATGGAATAGATTACCATTTGAATTATCAGAAAGCACGTTATTTTTAATTAATCTTCAACTTAATTACTAACATGAAATTATTTAAACCATAATTATAAAATATTTTTCTCTCAAATATTTAAAAGAAATTTACCATAATTTATTTTATATATATATATATCATAGCTGTTAATTTTTTACCCTTTCAGTTTATTGAGAGCTATTTAAAATCTCTCAATAAACTGAAAACTATATTCTTTAATAATTTAGCAAATGAGAACTTTAAATCTATAACTTTTGTTAAAATGCGTCGAATTGAGATTAATGTGACAAATTTTAAGAAAAGTTAAATTTTCAAACAGGTTTTTTTTTTTTTTAACAATTTTCAACCTTAATATATGGCTGTTGTAATTTTTAAATTACAAAATTAAGCGATCGCATTTTCATGCACAATTTGCTCATTTCTATGAATAAACATTTGCCTATTTCTTTACTATTGAAACAAAATTTTAATATAATTGTAAATCTCCCTCGCCTTATGAATACAGTGTGTAGCTACATTCAAGATATGTTAAAGGCTCTGTGCATGTACTAGGTGACCTATAAAATAAAGAGGCCTACAGAGGGTTAATCAAATTCTAAAGCATTAGAATGACAGTTGCATAAATTAGTCTGTAACCGTAAATTATTTACTTACCAGCTGTCCCGACCCATCGTTATTCTTCTGAGGGGTTTTACCGCCTCTGGAATTGTACAATTAACCCCCAGAAGTCAATTAGACAAGATCGAACTCGCAGGTGATGCGTCTACTCTGCGAGCAGACGATTGAATGAAATGCACCGGTTTCAGAATTCTGCAATGGTCTGGAGAAGGGGGAAAGGTGATTTTCCCAGGACTTGCGCCATGCAGCCTTTTCGCCTCCTCAGTGCAGCTATAGATCCGTAGATTACCTCTACCCTGGATACTGATTCAATCATCTGACAGATCTTTTTTACGCCTTTAAAAATTCGTAGACATAAGTGTTACAATGTATCAATGCATAAAAATCTATAGCAGACGATTTCTTATGTAATAAAATTTAAGGTTATAAAGAAATATAGCAGTCGCTACGTAATTTTATATGGTATACAGTGGCGTACATAGACTTGGGTGCGCCCCTTGCAAGATTATTAAATGCGCCCCTTTTTTTTTATCCTAACACAAATTATAATATAAATAATTTTAAAATTATAATATAAGACAAGAAGAGACATTCGAGAATTTATTATCATTCATCTTATTTCAATTTATATTAATTTATGGATTTTAATTTGAGTTATTTTAATATGAATTAATAAAGAATCGCTGTGAAAATATAGTGATACATTTGCATTAAATTAAATTATTTTAAATAATTATAATTCTTTTTTATCGTTTGAATTATTTAAATTGATTCTTTTTTCTATTTTCTTCTTCTTTTTATCTATACAAGAAATATATTTGCATGAAATTAAATTCTTTTAAATATTAACATTAAAAATTGAAGAAAACCAAACTGATGTTTTTCAAAATTAAAATATTTTCTTTTTATCAGAAAAAAAATAACTAGATTTATCGAAAAATATAAAGATGAGGAAAAAATGATGGTTTTTTATCACATCACGTAACATAAAGGTGTATTTTAAAATAAATTAACTTTAATGCTCTTGAATTAAAGTTAAAATTAAAAAGAAGATAAAAATTTTTATCAGCATAACTGCAAATTAAATATTTTAATTAAAGAAATCGTAGGAGATCTAAATTGATTTAAAATAAAATAAACGCATTATAGCTTAAAATAAGATTTAACATTCAGTTGGGATTAAGTTCATTATATTTTTAAACTTAAGACATTGATATTTAATGAACTGTAAGAAATTTTATGAATGTTACATCTTAAATCAGTTTTTTTTAATTACTTTTTTAAGCTACCTAAAATTAGAAACAAATCTCAAAAAATAGTAAGCAGTTTAAAACTCACAGTCGTATTTCGCATTTTGTAATAATATTGTTGTGTTTATAAAGTCAAAACATAAAAATAAAAAAGTATATGATTGTAAAATAACATGAATGGGTTATGAAATTGGCGGAAATGAAAGACTTCAAAATTAATAATTAAAATGTCCGATTTGAAAATCGCAAGTCGTTTTAATACCGGATTAAAAATATCAGAATTTTCGAAACCCCGAGGAAAAGCCAGCAACAACTGTAGAAAGAACGATAAAAATAAATAAATAAATCTCTTAAATTGTGGAGCACAAATAAAGCACCCATTTAAATGCACGATTCGTGAGTCGCATTGATACATATTAAAAATATCGGTATTTTCAAAACCTTACGCCACTGATAAAATAAAAATTTGAATTTAGCACTCTTGTTGTATTAAGCTAAAAATAAATGATGGAAAGTTATTTATATCATTTGTCTGACATGTATGTTACATATTACATCGACGTATAAAAACAATGGCAGTTCAGAGCATCTTAAAAATATGCATTTCAATGTATTAGAATTTTAAAACTATTTCCACGAACATTAATTTTCTCTAAAAAATTAAAAGGAGGCTAAAGTTATTTATAATCTCTCTTTGACATGTGCGCAACAATGTATTGATGCATGAAAATAAATAAAACGAAAATATGGAACTAAAAAAAGTATTATATATTATGCATTTAAAAAGTTTATAAGTTGTAGTTGTTGTTATAATAAACAGATCAAAGATATTTACTTTTTCCGTCTAGCGTTCGGGATTTCAACGATGCTTCGCACGAAGTGAATTTTAAAGTTTTGCAGATTTACACTGTTCTAATTTAATGGGAGATTTAAGAAAATAGTATCTTCACATGTTCCTATTATAACACATTTTAGATTAGTGGCGTACATAGACTTAAGTGCGTCCTACTGCAAAATTTATAAATAATATATTATGTTATCAAAATATATTATCTGACTTTTTTTTTAAAATTTTAATATTAAATATTTATATTTTAATTAATGTATATTAATTTTAATTAATAAAGAATTAATAACTTCGACAGAACGGCGGAATTTCAAAAAGTACTAAATTGGAACATTTTTATACACTTAACAACTGACCACATTTCAATGAAATTCATCTTAATAATTCGAGAAAATTATTCACTTTATTACAATAATATATTCAAAGTTTAATTAAAGGTTATCATTACTTGAAAAGTGAATTAAAAAATAACTTATAAAAAAATAATTTTTATTGTAATTCATATTAGGGGTGCCTAGACACGTTGTTGTTGTTGTCCTAGGTCATTATGGCAACGGGTGCGATTGTTCTTGTTTTCCAGTGGCGCCATCTGTGGCCAAGAATTCGACTTCTGCTATTACCATATGTCACACCTGTTTACAGGGCTGACCCATTCATACATCTATTCATCTACAGATCGTAATTTTGACCTGAACCAGAGAACGATCCAACATCTCCAATTCAGTACCCCAAGAGGTTTTTTTGTTATGAGAACATGAAGGACTTTGTGACCCGACATATTTGACGCGTACCAGTCACCATTTAGTACGCGGGGAGTCTTCGGCTGGCTGGATTCGAGCTCCCGTTTTCACGAACTTGAGTCCAGAACTCTACCAACCAGGCTATCCCGGTCAAGTACCTAGACATGCTGACGGCAATTATGAGAATTTTAACAAAAATATTAGTGTTTCAGGCGCAATTCTTTTTATCAGTCAACCTAGTAAAATCTTTGCATGACATTATATTCTTTTAAATAATAAAAAAAAAATATTATTTTAATTATTATTTTTTCTTTGTAGTCAACTTAGTAATATATTTGCTTAAAAATGAATTCTTTTAAATTTTAAAATTCATTTAAAACTGTAAAATACCAAAATTATACTTTTCAAAAGCAAAATATTACCTTCCTATCAAAAAATCATTACTGTCGAAAAAAATATAAAGACTTAGGAAAAGTGATGGATTTTCCATCATATCACGTAATGCAAAAGTTTATTTTAAAGCAAATTAACTCTAATGTTCTTAAATGAAAGTTTAAAAAAAATGTATGAATATTTTATTGAGAAACATAAATGCAAATTATATTTTAATTAAAGAAATTGTATGGGGTCTAAAGTGATTTTAAATAAAACTATCGCATTATAGCTCCAAATTAGATCCAACATTCAGTTGAGATTCAGTTCAGTATATTTTTAGCTTTAGGACATTTATATTTAGTGAATTATAAGAGATTTTATAAATGTTAAATCTTAAAACGGTTTTTTAAGCTCTTTTTTTTATGTGACAAAAAATTAGAAACAAAGTTCAAAATCATTAAACAGTTTTAGAAACCCAGATTCGAATTTCATGTGTTATAATAATAGTGTATTAAAATTATTGAGATTTAAAAAGAAAAATTTGGAAATATCTAGTAACAACTAAAGAAATAAAATGATTAAAAACGAATGAAAAATAACTTGGATTGGCGATGAAATCGGCACAAATACAGCGCATCAAAGTATTTGATCAGAATATTTGATAAATTAATATTTGATGATTAAAATGCCTGATTCAAAAATCGCAAGTCTTAATAATTACATATTAAAAATATCGAGCGTAGCAGTAATTGTTCAAAAACGATTTAAGAAAGCTCTTAGGTTTGGGATGCCGCTTAGATTTGTGATGCCTCTTAGATTTTTGCCCCCTTTATTTGCGGCACAAATAAAGGACACATATAAATGCGCGATTCGAGTGTCATAGTAATTTCATATTAAAAATATCTGGATTTACAAAATGAGATGTGGAAATGCGTAGCAATAAGTGCTGATAAAAACAATAGAAAAAAATACCTAGAAAAACGAGCATAAGTCAAAACTTAGTTACGAGTTGAACTTAGATATACGTACTCAGAAATAATACCTAGAAAAAGAGAGTATTTAGCCAAAGAGCGAGTATTTAGAGAAATAGAGTATTTAGAAAAAAAAGCACGATAATATTAATACATAAGCACGTCAAAAGTGATCGCTGCTGGCATTAAATATCCTTAGCGGTAGACGGATCATGGGCGAGCGAAACATGGGGGTTTTCGTGATTTTCCTCTCCATGTAACGCAAATGCGGATTAGTTCCATCGAAAAGTTCTACTCGAAGGAAAATTTCTCCCAATACTTGATCCAGTAGTTCCCTTGTCTTCTGGATTGGGTTCAAAATTGCACGGTTGTGTAGTTGAACATTAATAGTTGTAAACCCAAAAATTGGGTCGACTATTCAGCGACGATTATAAAATATAGTGTAACATAAATAAAATGCAAAATAAAAAGTAAGCGTAGCGTAATGGGGGGAGGAGAGTTTCTGTTTTAAGAAAACTGTTGGTGTATTCTAAGTTTTATACATACATATAAATGAACAGTTTTCAACAAAAAAGAAGTGTGCCCTCCCCCCCTTTTCACAATAAACCTAAACACTCAATTCTCTAATTTTCTTAAGCAGGGATTTTTCTTAATCGTAACTTCGGAGTTACGAAAACATGTATGTCTGGGAAAGTTTCCGGTCTGGGAAAAATAATCAATATATAATAGGGGAGGGGGGAACTGTGATCTTTCAATATTTCCGGTATTAGGTGAAACATATTTAACAATCAATTCAGACAGTTATAATTTATAAAAAAAGTGTAGTAAAACTGAGAAGTTTTCAGTAAAAAAAAAAAAGCAAGTACTTGAAATTTCGTTGTGTTTAATTAAATCAAAGAGTGAGTATAACAGCTGTTTAAGTGAAATTATACCCCATGTTTGTGTGGAAGTTGAATAGAAATCATTTTATATCCCTTCGATCTAACGTGAATATTACAGAATTTTATTGACGGATACTGCCAAATATTTGGTTACGAATAGGTGAATTTGAAA